TGCTGAAAGACAAAATGGTCCGCACCTTTACAGGAGAACGCCCTCCAAGAAATGAAATAGACGAACAGGAGGATGATCATGTATCTGAGGCCGGCTTGAATGACTTTAGGCCGATGCCAAGAAATCTCTTTGTAGGAGGAGCCGAACAGGATCACCTAAGTGAGACGGACGACGAAAGAACACCAACTGGGTATGCAACCCAGCCTGAACAGTTCCAGGCTCCAACAGGAACGAGACAAAGATCTGCCAGACCGAGCAATTCACAGCGTGAACGACCTGAAAGGTCAACAGAACCTGCTCGGACAACCGAGCTCGAAGAGAGAACCAGAGTTCTCGAAATGGCAATGGGAAGAATCCTTGCCCGATTAATCCCTGATGATCCCCTGATTCCTTTACTGAACAGGGATGCACAACCAGCTGCGGTTGTTGCAACTAGAAACTCCCCCGCCCTGAGCAATGTAGTAGTGCCGACCAGGCCGAGGGGAAGCGGGAAGTTGAATGTCGAGCCCAGCTCGTCCAAATACAGTGAAGAGTTGATGAGAAAAAACGCAGACCTTGAAAGGCAACTGCGGGATGTACAGAAATCCATCGACGAGCTGAAAAGCCCTCGGTCGCATCAACAGACTTTGGATTTGGACAGTGCTCCACTGAACCTATCCATCACGGCAGAACCGTATCAAGAGGGATTCAAAATCCCCCACCTAGAGACATATGATGGCACGAAAGACCCGGATGAACATCTACACACCTATCAAGCCATCATGAGGATTCAAAACGCCAATGATGCCATGATGTGCAAAGTGTTCCCGGCAACCCTGAAATCAACGGCCAGAAGATGGTATCACAAACTTCCCAGACATTCAATAGATTCTTTTTCCCAGCTCGCCAAGCTGTTTTCTAACAAATTTGCGAGCCAAAGGGAGATCAAGCGCACAGCAACCGAGCTGATGCAAGTTAGCCAGAAGGAAGGGGAGTCTTTGAGGGATTACATGCAGCGGTTCAACAAAGCCACACTGGACATTGATAATGTCCCAGATACAATCTGCTTGTCCGCCCTGCTACACGGGTTGAAGCGTGGCCGGTTCCTAGACGACCTGCTGGAGAATCCACCGAAGACGTGGAACGAAGTGAATGACAGGTCGGCCAGCTTCATACTGTCAGAGGATTTTCAGTCGTCCAAGCGACGAGCTGACGATAAGCCGAGCAGAGGCCAGGAACCAATGGCGAGAAGAGAAGAGAAGAAGAAGCAGAAGGTCGGTGAGCAGTGGGGGAAACCAGCTGAGTTCCCGAAATATGCCAGTTACATTCCTTTGACCTTACCTAGGTCTCAAATCCTGGCACAAATTCAGCACTGGGTTAGGAGGCCCCCACCCCCGCTGCATGACTCCCCGAGGGCAGATAAGAGCAAGCACTGTGACTACCACCGTGTATATGGTCACAATACAGAAGA